TACTGATAGCGTTCGCACGCTCTCGCATCCATGGGGCGAGTTAAGCTGCGTGCAGGATGCTCGGAGATGTTGAAGTCACCCAGCATGAACGCGGCCAGGGTCAGCGCTGGCCTCGCACAGGGCCTCCGTGCAGGAGCTCTCGATGGCCGTGCGGTCGACGGCGGCCAGCTCGAAGTTGTGTTTGTTCCGGAAGATCTGCGTGTATTGCTGCGTGACGTCGGTGATGCGAAGGAGAGCAGGTCGTTCAGGAACAACCGTGGTAAAGACCATCTCGGACTTGGCGAGCTGGTCGGGCTCGTTCGGCCTCGGGAAAAGTGAGGTGCCAGGAAGGCCACGCCGCCGGCATTTGGATTGTCGGGGACAGCGCTGTGGTACACCAGGTGCTTGTCAGACGTTGAGTTGGCCATTCGGTGCAGGGCGGTCTGTGAGCCGCGCGTCTCCTGCAAGGCAATGAGAGACTGCTTCTAGAGGCACGGGGCGAGGATGCGGCGCTTGATGCCGCGCCCGCGAGGGACAGGATGAAGTGCGGCCTGGGCGTTCCAGCTGCTGATGGCGGCATTTGAGTGCGAGGAGTCGCCCAGCCGCGCCGTCCAGCGCGCGTTGCAGCCGCGACACTGCCGCCATGAGGTCGCCGAAGGAGGTGTCCATGAGGTTCCCGATGTCCCGCTTGAAGCGAGCATTGACACCGAGGCGGTCAGCAGCAGCAGACCACTGGATCTTGGAGGCCTCTTGCGGGGAGGCACCGACAGTGAGTTGCGCGATGTGAACTCCGTCCACCGCGAGGAAGCCTTCGGCGCGGTTCGGTCTGACGTCCAGGTTCGGGCAGCAGGAGAGGGTGTGCTTGGCGAGGCGCTTGAGCTGGACTTCTTGCCGTACTTTTTTGGGGCCCTTGTCCGCGTTGACGAAATTGTCGCGCTGTGTGCCGTGATCGATGATGCTGGACTTGCGCCAATCACGGCCGATGCGAAGATGAGCACGTAGGGATTGAGCGCGGGGGTATGCCACTTCGTCACCGCCCATGAGTGTGATGGACACCCGCTTGTTGGGGGCCGCGTTGTTGAAACGGGCCGTGGCCATGTCGACGCCAGCGTCCTTGAACCAGGGGGCGAGAGCGGCGCGCAGCTGTTCCTTGCTGATCGGGATGACAGCGCCGCGCCAGAACGCGGCGACTTGCCTAGGACGGTCCTACGCTCCGATGTTGGCCAGGCGCAAGCTCGGTACTTTGGATTCCGCAATAGCGAGGGCCTGCTTGATGTCATCGCCTGATTGCTTGAGGGAGGAGTTGGCCACGTCTGCTTTGTCCATGCGGATCTTGGGTGCGATGATGTCGTTTACTGTGGCGTCTTGACGAGAGGAGAGGCTGCCGACTGTCTTCTGCACCTTGGACAAAAAGGCCCCTTGGGCGTCATTACATACTTTCTCTGCCGTTGCTTTGAATACCACCAGCCCTCTGGGCGCCGGTGGTTTAGGGAGTTTCCTCTTCCACCCCTCCTTCTTCCCCTGCGGGGGGGGGGGTTACCCCTACCCTCCCCATGGACCTGGACGGGGGGTTTCGCGAGTCGCCGGAGCGTCCAAAACGGCCTCGGCGAGGAAACCAGAATCATTGGTTTTACCAAAGTTTGGGCCCCATGTTGGGCTCTTGGGGGGGACGCTAATTAATGCTCCCCTCTTGTTTGATCGATCTCCTCCACGATGGCCCCAAGAAGCGCCCAGGAGGTCCCAAGGGGTCCAAAGATGGCCCCAAGATGGCCCCAAGAGGCCCCCAAGAGGCCCCCAGGAGGCCCCCACAAGGATCCCAAGCGGCCCCAAGATGCCCCCCCGAGGCACCCAAGACGCCGAAGAGCCCCCCACGACCGCCAAGAGACCCCCAAGACGTCCCAAGACGCCCAAGAGATACCCCAAGAGGTTCCGAGAAGCATCCAAGAGACCTCTGGCCCTTTTGCTTGCTTTCCTCCTCCTCCTTACTCCTCCTCCTATCCCTTCTCCTCCTCCTCCTCCCCCTCCGCCTCCTCCTCTTCCTCATCTGATTCATCCTCCTTCTCCCTACTCCCTCATCCATCCATCCAATTTTCTCCTTCGCCCCCTCTCTCCTTCACACGGTTCGGTCGTCCCCCTGTTTGCTCCCGCACTTCCCTGATCACCTCTCTACTCGCCAGGACATCGTTTCTGGATGGGCTGGTGGGGATACGAAACGTCTAGAATTTCGCGCTGGCCAGTTGAATTTGGGTCTTGAGCAATTGTGCCACCTCGGCCTTGAGACAGTCTCCTTTGTCCTTGCCAATACCTTTTGCGGCGGCCACCGCGGCAGCGTCGTACCAGGGATCGGCAGTGCGACGTGGCGAGCGGCTTCCTGTGGGTCCGTCTGGCACTCCCCAGTTGAGCAGTCGCTCAGCAGACACGAAGAAGAGGAGGCCGCGGCACCTCCGAGAAATCCCGCGTGAATATGTATGTAGGGCGGAGAATCATAAAACACTCCTTCGCTGGCCTCGGAACAGAGGTTTGTCATGGAAATCCGCGGGCGCTGTGCCCGTCAACATTGGAGTCTTGAGCCAAAATGGCTACGGAGGAGGAGGAGGAAGATAAGCAGGATGACGAGGAGGATGGGGAGGACGAGGAGCAGGAGGAGCAGGAGGAGGGCGCGAACAGGAGGAAGAGAGGCGGGGTCGAGGAGTGGAAGAATAGAAGGGCGGTGGAGGAGGAGGAGGAGGAGAAGGAGGAGGAGGAGGAGGAGGACCAGCACACATCCTGAAAATGTTACAGGCGTCCCAATCAGCCGCCTGGGATCTCAGCCGAGGCTTAATAATGGCTCGGTTTCTCTGCCAAAGCGCCAAACCTTAAGACTGGCTCAGCAACGCTGGCATACCTGGTACGCTGACTGGGCGACGCGCCGCGCGTCAGAGGGGCCGTGCCGCCTCCGCGCGCGCGCCGCCACGGCCGACAGAGGTGCCCCAAGGGAGGGAGGAACGCCTGGTAAGAAAGGGCCAAGGACCCCGAGCCAGGGGGGGAACCCTGACAGCGCGGGGCATCCCGACCCTGTCCCACCCCACGGGAAGGCCCCCACGGCCGGCGGGAGCGCCGTCCACAGAACCCCCCCGCCGCCATCCGCCTTCTCCCGCAAGTCCCCGGCTCTATTTCTAGCCCAACGATACAGGCGGCAGTCGACCAGTTTGGGTTCCCCGACCGTCCCAGCGTGCTCACCAGGCCCCCTTCTTATGCGGAGGGGGAAGGAGGAGGAGGAGGAGGAGGAGGAGGAGGAGGAGAAGGAGGAGGAGGAGAAGAAGAAGAAGAAGAAGAAGAAGGAGAAGGAGAAGGAGGATGATGAGGAGGAGGCGGAGGAGGAGGAGGGGGAGGAGGAGAGGGGCCCAGTTCTGCCAGTGCCGCGGCGGAAAGCCAAAGAGGCTCACGGGCACCGGTGAGACGACTGTCCTGGATCGCTTCGGCATGCTGAGAGTGAACCTGGCAACCTTCCCGCCATACGGTAGGTTCCTGTGGCGTTGGCGCACGCAAAAGTTGTTGACACCGCGTCGATCGTTCAACCTTAAATCGATCACGGCCCCGCTCTTTCAAGGTTGAAGTCCGTCGGGTCCAGTGGCGTCACCGTGTTCCTCGGTGCTTCCGCGTCGCAATATTCAACCTTGAACGCCTTCGACGCCGCATGAACCTACCGTACCTGAAGGGTGGGCCACAACGCGTGAAAGCCTGAGGACAACGGGTATGGAGAGGCATGCTCAAGACAGCTCCGAGGCGGCCCCAGAGGGCTCCAGGAGCTGGTTTCAAGCACTTTCCTGCGAAAGGTAAGATCGTCGGCGAGGCCATTCCTGCAGATCCCTGCCCCTGTGTTCCCCAATCGTTGCGGCAACAGGTGGGGGAACATGGCTGCGGACTGTTATCGTACTACTTCTCGTTCCTTTTGTAAGACATGCTAATTCAGGTCACGCAGGCGCCTACACCGCATGCCAATATTCCAAAGCGCAGGAGGCGGCGATGACTCGCCTTAGGCGTCTTCGATAAGAAGGCCTGAAGTTGACGGCTCCGGGCCTCAACGGAACGGCGCCTACCCTAGGCGGGATGGCCCCGAAGGGGACGGCCCAGGCTAAACGGGACGACGAACCCGGAACCCCAGAACGGTCCCCTAGCATAAACAAGGTAACTCCCGCCTTAACCCAAGGCCGGGCTAACGGCGATGTTGTTTCACGGTGGTGCTGGGAACGAAGGAAATCACGGACCACACGATCCTACATTTCCTAGCTGCGAATGGATCGAGCGAACACGACACAGCGAATTTTAGGAAAGCGCGAGCCACGCGTTCCCACACTACCGAAACCTACATCGCCGTTACCCACATCGCCGTTAGCCCGTCTACGGTTAACAGCCTGGCTCCAAGCCTGAACAGGACGGCTCCAAGCCTGAACAGGACAGCTCCTGACATAAACGCGACGGCTCCTGGCCTAGATTGGGCGGTTCCCAGCCTCAACCAGTCCACCCCAGCGGTCCACCCCAGCGGTATCCTCCGACGAGCAAGGGGATGAGGATAAGGATGAGGATGAGGATGATGGTGGTGTTTGGTGAGGAGGAGGAGGAGGAGGAGGAGGAGGAGGAATAAGAAGAACATTAAGAATAAGCATAATAATATTCAAATAAACAACAATACTAAGAAGAGACTACACGCCTGAACAAAACAGCTCCTGGAATAAACGCGACGGCTCCTGGCCTAGATAGGGCGGTTCCTAATCTCAGCTGGATATCCGCCGATCCTTGGGCCCAGGAAGGCAGAAAGGCAGGAAGGCGGTCGGAAGGGCAGACAGGCAAGAAGAAATGGAGAACGGCGGGATAAGGGAAGGAAGTGAGGGAAGGATCGAGACAAGTCAAGGGAATACTGTGAGATGGAAAAGCATAATCTAGAAAGACGAATCGGAATGGGAAGAAGAAGAAGGAGAGGAAAAGTAGGCAAGCAAACGAACGAAGAGAGAATAGGAAAGGGGAGGGGCTGCGGTCGAATCCTCCACCAGCTTCGCGAAGAGATCGAAGTCCACCCCAGCGGTATCCTCCGATGATCGGTCGACCAGGGAGAGAAGCAGGAGGATGAGGATAAGGACGAGGATGAACATGCGGATGATGATGATGACGATGATGATGATGCTGCTGCTGCTGCTGCTGATGATGATGATGATGATGATGATGATGATGATGCTGGTGAGGATGATAATGATGATGATGACGAGGAGGAGAAAGAAGAGTAGGAGGAGGAAAAGAAGCAGGAGGAGAGGGAGGAGGAGGAGGAGGAGGAGGAGGAGGAGGAGGAGGAGGAGGAGGAGGAGGAGGAGAACATGGAGGAGGAGGAGGAGGAGAACATGGAGGAGGAGGAGGAGGAGGAGGAGGGATTTCCCCCCCCGCCAGGCACGAAGACGCACAAGAACGGCAGGATGTGTCTCTTCCTGCATCCCGCTTCCTCCACCCCCCCCGTCCTCCTCCTTCTCCTCCTCCTCCTCCTCCTCCTCCTCCTCCTCGTCCTCCTCCTTCTCTTCCTCCTCCTCCTCCTACTCCTCCTCCCCCTCCTCCCCTGGAGAAAGACAGAGAGAGACAGAGAGAGAGAGAGCGAGAGAGCTGGGCTCCTCGGCAACGCCGTTCTCGGACATCAGGGTCTTGAAGGCCTTGTTCCACTCGTCCTCGCCGCCCCCGAAGCCAGTCAGCTCCGCGAAGCGGCGCATCTCGTGTGGGCTCAGCAGCTCGTCTCTGTCGAGATCGAGCCGCTGGAAGACCGCGCTGATGAGGGCACCGCGGCTCTCGCTGATCAGCTTGATCCTCGGGTTCCCCATGTGCACCCTCTTCGCATCAATCTCGAGCTCCTGCAAGCGGATCCAGCTTGAGGGGGGAGGGACATGACAAACAACATGTGCGTCGGCAGCAACACCATATGGGCGGAGGAGAAAGAGGAACGAGCGAACACCTGTGAGGCCAAACATCAACGTTCGAACACTAGGCATGATCCTGGACCGATGTAACTACCGCGAGCGTCAGGCATCCAGCCCGCCCATCCAGTTGCCGAGGAAGGAAGCCTCAAACATGTATACACCACACAAGGGCTGATTTCGTAAACGCTGCCCCTTAACACCTTAATACACACAAACGCACGAACACACAAACACACAACCACACAACCACACGCACACACATACACACACACATCGCACGCGCGCACGCACGCACGCACGCAACCACACAGACACACACACAGACACACACACACACACGCGCACGCACGCAAACACGCACACGCACACGCACACGCACACGCACGCACGCAAACACGCACACGCACACGCACACGCACACGCACACGCACACGCACACGCACGCGCACACGCACACGCACGCGCACACGCACACGCACGCGCACACACACGCGCACGCGCACACGCACACGCACACGCACACGCACGCGCACACGCGCACACGCACACGCACGCGCACACGCGCACACGCGCACACGCGCACGCGCGCACGCGCAAGCGCACATGCGCACACGCGGCCTCGCGCGAGGCGACAGGGCGTAGAAGGTCGGAAAACAGTGAGGCGCGCGCGGATACGTCCCGCCGAGCACTCAAAAACCATTCAAGGCCTCGCAGTCGCCAGCAGCCATAACTATCCGGGCATGGATGGCGGGGACTGGGCGGTGAGAAGACGAAACTCAGGGAGGTGGAAACTGACATATGCCAACTGGGACTGGAAGGCGGGGAGAACCAGTAAGCAGAGTGGACCGACAAAGAAAGCCAAGAAACGACAGGGAGAGCTGGCGCAGACAGCGAAGACGCAAAACATAGCAGGCTGAGGGCCACGAAAACCAGCGGAGCCAGGCGGTGCGCCGGAAACGGCGGCGGCCCAAAGGGCGGTCCCTGAAGGAACGGCCCTCCGAGAGGGGGGGCCCGGCAGTGAGCGGAAAGGTGGGAGCGAAGGCGGCCGGGCAGAGAGCGGATTGAGGGCGGGAGGGCGCCCACGGGCAATGCCTTGAGGGCAGGGGAGGGGGGGAGAAGAGGAGCAGACCGCAGCGCCTGCCGGGCGGAGGAGTGGCAGGTGGAGTGCGGGCCCGGACATTGGCCGATCTGATTTGGGGTCCCGACCCCTTCCCTGGGTTTTTTTTCGCCCCCGATCTATTTTTGATGGCCCCCGGGCCCGAGAACGCGCCCCGGAGGCCGAAATCGAGGTCTTGGACACCTGGGGAAGGCAGCGGGAACAGGAGGCGCGCTGGACGACGCTATCGCGGGACCCCGCAGCAGGCAAGAGCGAGCGAGGCCCCTGTGCAGCGGCCGTCGCCGCGGGCTCCGCGGGAGGCACACGCCTCCCCAGAGATCCGAAGATCTGATTTTTTCAGTGTGTCGGCTTTTCCCGCACTTCGGGCCGCTTCTCGGGGCTGGCCATCAATAAAAATGGCTCCGGGGCGCAAAAACCGGCCCCATGGGTCGGGCTGGGGCTGCGGATTGAGCAAAACATGTCGGCGGGTGCCTGGGCGTCGCCACGGGCACCGCGGAAGGACGGCCCTCCGCGCGGAAAGCCGGGCCAGTGAGATGCGGCCGCGGGGGAGGGCCGCAGATGGATCGCTTTCCCCGCGCGGCGGCCCCGCGGCAGGAGAAAGTGACCACTGTTGGACTCCTGTGCCCGCGCTGCGGGGACCTCGGGCCGGGCAAAACGTTGCCATATCCAGGGGCGCGGTGCCGAGACATCCCCAACGCGAAAAAGTGGCAGCGCAGCCAAACCCGATGCTGGATGCAGAGTCCCTGGCCGATCCAGCAGCCTCGCTCCCTGTGCCATCACGTCTCAGCGGGACAGGGTCCGGTCTCCGCGCCGCCGGGTGCCGCTCCGTTCTCCAGCACCAGAACCCCCCCCACCAGGCGACGCGTCGGTCCTCAGCACCGGGATAGCCCCGCCCCCGGATGCGCCTCCTGCGGGGCCGATCTGGCGGCTCTGATGTGGTCGAGGCATGGACGCAAGGGTGCCAGGAGGAAAGGCAGAGGAGAAGGGGGAACGAACGGGCGGAGAGCGGGGCGGAGAGCGCGGAGGACAGGCAGTGCCAGCGCCCTTCAGTGCCGCGGGCCGAGCCCCGCAGCGTTGTGGCCCCGGCGGCCCCAGTGGCCCTGGGGCGCGGGCCTGGGCCCGACGTCATGATCTTTTCATGGCCCCTTGACGTCGTGATCTTCTCACGACGTGGACCCCGACCCATTCCACGGGACCGATTGTTCTTCCCGAGTCGTTTTTTGACGGTCCCGAGGCCCAGCAAGGGCCCCCAGAGGCCAAAAATAGTGAAAAACCTCCCGTCGTGAGTTTCTCAATGCTGCCCGCGAAGGGGTCTGGGACCCCCCCCCCCACGGGGACGACGCGCCGCGGAGCCGGCGGAGCCCCAGAATTGCGTCAAAGCGACGGCGCCTTGCTTTTCCTTTCTGGGCCACGGCCGCGGGCGCCCGGGCGTCCTGCTGGGGGTCCTGCTGGGTGCCCGGGGCCCGGCCCAGGCCCGCGCCCCGCGGGGGCCGCGGGGCCGCCGGGCCCGCGAGCGGCGGGGCCGCCTGCGCGGGCCAGGGCGTGGGCGGGAGGCACGCGCCTCCCCAGAGATCCCAGGATCTGATCTTTTCACACCGGCTGTTTCTCCTGGATTTCGGCTTTCGGGGCCCGTTATCGCGGACCCCGGGGCCACCACAAATGGATCCAGGACGCAAAACCACCGGGGTCGGGACCTCTGGGGCCGCAGAGTGAAACAAACTCATATCTGCGGATGTCTTGGTCCCCACTGAAGTCTGGGAACCAGCCCTCAGGAGGCACGGGCGGGGAATCGGCATGCAGGTTGTTGAAGTTTATGGTGTCGAGGAACTGCCGAAGCTCGGGAGCGGAGAAATGGATGGGTAGCGGGAGCTCGCTGTGGGCGCCGGTCGTCGCACAGTGCACAGAGACCGACATCAACCATTCCACACCAACAATGTGATCGATGCTGAATTCGCCGTTGAGATGCTCCGAGACCCTAGCGGCCAATGCGAGGTGCACGCAATCGGCGCCGGGCGGGCTGGCGATAGTGTTGCCGCTTCCAGGGCCCAAGCGTGGAGGAGGAGGAGGAGGAGGAGGAGGAGGAGGAGGAGGAGGAGGAGGAGGAGGAGGAGGAGGCGGAGGTGATAATGAGGAGCCAGCCTCGACGCAGGGGCACGGGGACCGCTCCCTGGAGCGCCCTAGTGGGAGCAGGCCGATGGAATCCACGAAACGGCCGAGGAGGCGGGCGGGGAAGTCAATGGGGGCAGGGGGTCTGTTTGGAGCGGTGAGGGGCGCGGCCCGGCACCAATTCTCAACGACCCAGATCCTCCGCAGCGAACTGACGCTCCAAGCTTCATCAGGGTCGCCGGCGATCCAGGAGGAGACCACCCGGCCAGGGCGCGGCGACCCCGGGGGCGGCTCAGCGGAGAAGGCGGGCGCGGAGACGTCACAGCTCAGCCCGAGGGGGCAGGGGTCGTGCCACCGCGGGCGAGGTGGGCAGTCAGGAGGGGCGCGGGGTGGGGCGTAAGGGGGACCGCCAGGAAGGCAACCAGGGAGGGCAGCACGGAGGCCGTCGGGAAGGTCGCCGAGGGGGGCATCGGCTCGCCCTCTTGAACGCAGGCCCCCGCAGCTCCGGGCAAGGGGCTGCAGCGGGCCCGCCTCGAGGCTCGGAGTTTCCTTGCGTGGCCAGTCGGCGGGGGATGCGCAAGCAATTGTTTGGCGTTGTCGGGCCTCGTGGCGTCGTGCTGGCGGACGCGGTGAAGAGAATCGTCATTCCGCCTGGCCCCCTCTTGTGGCTGGCCCCTCCCCTTCCTACCAGCACGAGCGGCACTTGACGTGGAGCGGGGAGGCCGTCGGGGATGATGGCATCGGCGACCCAGGCTGTGCTGACAAGGATGCTGCCGTCAAAACACTTGGCTGCGCTGGCGAGTGCGGTGACGTCGGCGATCCAGGCTGCGCTGGCGAGAGATCGCCCCCCCCCCCCGCGCGGGGCGGCCCCGAGGCAGGGGAGCGTGACCGCTCGCAGCGATACCGGCGCTCCCTTCTCTGCGCGGGACGGCCCCGCCGCGGGCGTCATCAAAGCCCTCGGCTGCGCTGGCGAGGGCAATAGCGCCGGCGATCCCGGCTGTGCTGACGAGGACGTCACCGTCGAAGCTCTCGATTGCGGTGGCGAGTGTGATGGTGCTGGTAGGATGCTGGCGTCGATGCTGTCGACCGCACTGGCGAAGAAGACGGCGTCGGCGATCCAGGCTGCGCTGACGAGGACGCTTCAAAGCTCTTGGCTGCGCTGGCGAGGATGGTGACGTCGGCGGTTCAGGCTGCGCTGACGAGGATGCTGTCATCGAACCTCGGCTGCGCTTGCGAAGATGATGGCGCCGGTGATCCAGGCTGTGCTGACGATGATGCCGTCGTCGACGTTCCAGGCTGCGCTGGCGAGGACCATGGCGCTGGCGATCCAGGATGTGCTGACGAGGGCACCGTCAACGAAGCTCTCGGCCGCGCTGGTGAAGGTGATGGCGCTGGCGATCCAGGCTGTGGTGGCCAGGATGCTGGCGTCGAAGCTCTCGATTGCGCTGGCGAGGATGATGGCCTCGGCGATGCTAGCTGTGCTGACGAGGACGCCTACGTCGAAGCTCTTGGCTGCGCTGACGAGGGTGATGGTGCTGGCGAATCCAGGCTGTGCAGACGAGGGTGCTGACAAGGCTCGCGGCCGCGCTGGTGAGAACGATGGCGCCAGTGATCCAGGCAGTACTGAGGCGGGTGCTGGCCTCGATGATCTCGGCTGCGCTGGCGAGGATGATGGCGTTGGCGGCCCCAGCAGCGATGGCGAGGATGCTGGCATCGATGCTCTCGATCACGCTGAGGAGGATGCTGGCCTCAACGATCCAGACAATGCTGACGAAAATGCCGGCACCGATGCACTCGGCTACGCTGGCGAAATTGGTAACGCTGGCGATCCAGACGGTGCTGGCGAGGAAGCTGGCGCCGATACTCTCGGCAGCGCTGGCGAGGGTGGTGGCGCCAGCGATTCAGCCTGCAGAAGACAGAGGCTGGAGAGGCTCAGCTTCGCTGTGGCCGCGGAGAGCGCGAGGGGGTGCGGGGTAGCAGCGGCGGAGAGCGGGGGGGTTGAGCAGGCCGCGTCTGCTGGGAAGGGGGCCGCAGCGAAATCGCTGCCCCCTGCGCGAGACGGCCCCGAGGCAGGGGGGAGTGACGGCTCAGGCAGCCCCAGCTTCTGCGTTGCAATGCAGGCGATCCTTTCCCCTGCGCGGGACGGCCCCGCAGCAGGCGATGAGGCGCTGGCCTCGAGGCTGATGGCGGAGGTTGGACCCAGAGGCGCGTGCCTCAGGGCGTCTCGGGAGCGTTGGCGAGGAGGCGCGTGCCTCGAGGGTGATGGTGATGGTGCTGTTAATGCAGGCTGTGGTGGCGAGGATGCTGGCGTCGATGCTCTCGATCGCGCTGACGAGGATAGGGGCATCGGCCATCCAAGCTGTACTGACGTGGTTGCTGGCATTGAAGCTCTTGGCTGCGCTTGTGGCGCCGGCGATTCAGGCTGTGCTGATTGAGGATGGTGGCATTGCTCTTGGCTGCGGCGGCGAGGAAGATGGCGCTGGTGATCGAGGCTATGCTGACGACGATGTTGGCGCCGATGCTTTTTAAAAGATCCAGGCCTTGACCTCCTGATCATCCTCGAATACCGAGAAGATGTCCGCGATCGTGTCCGTGGAGGTGACGGAGATGAGCAGCCGCCCTCATCAGATCAGGAACCCTCCAGGGTCTAAAGCCTCCTGGGCACATTCCTTAACGAACGCCCGCACCGTAACTATGTGAGGGTCCTGGGGCCCGAAATTGAGCGAAAACGCCCGTTCTGAAAAAAACTGCAACGCCAGGATGTCAAGGTCGCCCCCGATGTCCAGGAAGGCGCCCGCAGCCCCGCACGGAGCGCGCGGTTCCTTGGAACTCCTGGCTGACCTCGAGCGAGTCGAACGGGACTGTCCAGCCCGCTGGAGACGAGACGGTGCCCAGCCCGCCTGGGCGCCGACTCCCCGGGCACGTCGCTCCGCGCCTCGGCGCCCACGCCGCAGGCGGCAGCCGCGGCTCTGGCGGCGCCCGCGGCGCCCGCGGCGCCCACGGCGCCCTCCGCGGCGAATTCAGCGGCGCCTGCTGCAGTGCAGGCCGCCGCGGCGGCGGCGGCCGCGTCCGCAACGCCGGCGGCCGACGGCCGGCGAGCGGCGCGCGCCATGGCAGCGGCGGTCGCCGCGGCCTAGGGGCGCCCAGGCCCAGCCGGCGGCCAGCGGCGCCAGCGGGCCGCGGATCCGAGCGGCGATGGGCGGCGGCAGGTCAGGAAGCGTCGCGGGAAGGGCGGGCACGGTCGGTGGCAGCGCGTCGCTGCCGCCGACGCCGCGCCATGGCGGTCTCCGTCCGCGCCTGAGCCAGGAGCGTGCTTGAGCCCAGACGGCTGTAGCCAAAGGGGCGGCTACGGACACACACACACACACACAGACATCCACACACCCACACCCGCACACACACATACATATGCACGCCCGCACACACACACACAAACACACACACAGACACACATGCACACATTCACACACACACGCACACACCCACACACCCACACACCCACACACCCACACTCACACTCACACGCACACACACACACACACACACACACATCCGCACCCGCACACACACAGACAGACACACAAACACACAAGCACACGTATATACACACTAGAACCACGCGCGCGCTTCGCGCGCGCTTAGGTTCTAGCTAGGAGGCGAGCTTGAGTCAACGAAAGTCGCAGGGAAGGGGGCAGGGGGAAGAAGGCCAGAGAGCGCTGAAGGATACAAATATTGGAACCCTCTTGTGATTTTGTGGGGGGCCTCGTCTGGCCGCTCGCTGGGAGTTTGACGTAGCTTCTCGGGAGCCTCTGAACCTGTCGGGGGCCTCCTGGAAGCAGGTTCGAAGCATTTTGGGGGCCGATTTGGGTCTTCTCGGGGCCTCCTTCGGGCCTCTTGGGGGTCTCCTGGGGCCTCTTGAGGGGCCTCCTTGGGGCCTCCTGGCGGCCTCTTGGGGCGGAAGGCTCGAGCTTGCGGTTCGTGGTCCCCCTCTGGGCCCCCTCTTGGGCCCGTCTTGGGGCCCTCTTGGGCCATCTTGGGCGCCTCTTGGGCCGTCTTGGGGCCCTCTTGGGCTGTCCTGGGGCCCTCTGGGAAACTTTTTGGGCCGTCTTGGGGCGGTATTGGGCGCCTCTTGGGCCGTCTTGGACGCGGTGAAAGCCCAAGAGGCGAACATGCGAAAAATATACGTTTTCCCATAGGAATGCACGATTTGTGCTTCTTGGGCCTCTCTTGGGCTGCCTCTTGGGCCCGTCTCGGGGCCCTCTTGGGGCATCTTGGGCACCTCTTGGGCCGTCTTGGGGCCCTCTTGGGCTGTCCTGGGGCCCTCTTGGAAGCTTCTTGGGCCGTCTTGGGGCGGTCTTGGGCGCCTCTTTGGACCGTCCTGTAACGTCGGAAAACCCAAAAGACAACTTTGTTGAAAATGTACGTTTTACGAAGGGAATGGGCCAATTTTTGCGTCTAGGGGCCCTCTTGGGACGCATGTTGGAGGCTTCTTGGGGCCTCTTGGGGGCGTCCTTGGACGTCTGGGGTCTCCTGGGGCCTCTTGAGGGGCCTCCTGGGGGCCTCCTGGCGGCCTCTTGGGGCGGAAGGCTCGAGCTTGCGGTTCGTGGTCCCCCTCTGGGCCCCCTCTTGGGCCCGTCTTGGGGCCCTCTTGGGCCATCTTGGGCGCCTCTTGGGCCGTCTTGGGGCCCTCTTGGGCTGTCCTGGGGCCCTCTGGGAAACTTCTTGGGCCGTCTTGGGGCGGTCTTGGGCGCCTCTTGGGCCGTCCTGTAACGTCGGAAAGCCCAAAAGGCGACTTTGTTAAAAATGTACGTTTTACGAAGGGAATGGGCCAATTCTTGCGTCTAGGGGCCCTCTTGGGACGCATGTTGGAGGCTTCTTGGAGCCTCTTGGGGGCGTCCTTGGACGTCTGGGGTCTCCTGGGGCCTCTTGAGGGGCCTCCTGGGGGCCTCCTGGCGGCCTCTTGGGGCGGAAGGCTCGAGCTTGCGGTTCGTGGTCCCCCTCTGGGCCCCCTCTTGGGCCCGTCTTGGGGCCCTCTTGGGCCATCTTGGGCGCCTCTTGGGCCGTCTTGGGGCCCTCTTGGGCTGTCCTGGGGCCCTCTTGGAAGCTTCTTGGGCCGTCTTGGGGCGGTCTTGGGCGCCTCTTGGGCCGTCCTGTAACGTCGGAAAGCCCAAAAGACAACTTTGTTGAAAATGTACGTTTTACGAAGGGAATGGGCCAATTTTTGCGTCTAGGGGCCCTCTTGGGACGCATGTTGGAGGCTTCTTGGGGCCTCTTGGGGGCGTCCTTGGACGTCTGGAGGCCATCTTCAGCATCTCGGAGCCCTCTTGGAGGCCTCTTGGAAGTTTCTTGGGCCGTCTTGGGCGCTTCTTGGGCCGTCTTGTCTGACTGGGGAGGCCTCCGGCAAGCCCCGACGAGCCTCCGGGCCCCCCGGGGTGCACATTTGCGGTCGGGGTCCCGGCCCCGGGCCCCCGGACCCGGTGCGCCGTTATATGTATAAACACACACAGACACACACGCACACATTCACACACAGACACACATGCACGCATTCACACACACGCACACACACACACACACACACACACACACACACACACACACACTTCTTTGGCGTCGCGGCCCCGCGCGCGGCGACGGGGCGTAGAAAATCAAAGACACGCAACGGGGCGCGCGCGACTACGCCCAGGCGAGCTCTCAGAGAACACTAAGGGTGCCGCAGCCGGCAGCAGCCATGGTCATCTGTGGTCGCCTGTATGGTCGCCCGCATGGTTTCCCACATGGTCTTCAGCATGGTTCCCCCGGTCTCCCGCACGGTCGCGTGTATGGTCGCCCAAATGAGCTCCCGGAGAATCTCCCAGATGGTCTTCCGTGTGCTCGCCCGTATGGTCTCCTGGGTGGCCTCCTCTATGGTCTCCCGGGTGGTCCAGGCTTGCCTGGAAGGGGGTCACGGCGGGCCCACAGGCTCCACAGGTCCTGCTTGACCAGCTTGCCGTTGAGCCTGATGTGCTTCGAGAGTGTCACGGTCACGAATGGCGAGCTCGCAGCCGGAGGAGATTGGCCCCGGCGCTTCTCCTCGGAGGGGCGGAGTGCGGCATCCAGGCGCTGCAAAGAAGCGCGCGCTCCCTCGCCCCCCTTCCCCGTCGCTCCCTCCCCGCCGCTGTCCCCTTCTTCCCCGATCACAGCTCGAGTGTTGCTAGAAGGTCCCCTGGCCCGAGGTGCCCCCAGGATTTCATGGAGGCCCCCACGGCCTCCAGAGCACCCCTCACGAGGCCCAGAGTGCCCCAGGGGGTCCAAACTTGGACGCAAAGCTGGGGGCATATTACGTAGGCCAGGGGTACCTTTTGCAACCCCCGAACAGCTCCTTGATACGAGCACTGCTCCCCTCGGCACCCCCTCTCGGTCCCCCGACTGTCGCGGGCAGCGCGCAGGTCCGCATCGCACGCCCTCACACATCGGGAAGAGTGTGCTTCCTCTACCAGACCGTCTCCGATCACCAGGAGTGGCGTTGTCGCCTCGGCGCCTGCCCCCACGCTTGGCTCGGCGCCTGCCCCCACACTTGGCTCGGCGCTGAGCTTCTCCGCCGGCCCTCGGCGTAGGCAGGGCAAGGCAGCCGAGCTGCACCGCCGGTGCCCCCCCCCCCCCGTCTGGGGGGCCACAAGCGAACCCTACCCCTACCCCCCACGATTTTTGAGGGGCAGGGTGGGGTTCACTTCGCTCGTGACCTCCCGAATGAAGTGAACCCCACTCTCCCCCTCAGAAATCGTGGGGGGTAGGGGTAGGGTTCGCATGTGGCCCCCTACTGTCGTCGTCGCCGTCGTCGTCGTCGTCGTCGTCCTCCTCCTCCTCCTCCTCCTCCTCCTCCTCCTCCTCTACCCCTCCCAACCCTATCTCCCACTACCTCTCCTGCCCTGCATACCTGTTTTGTACACCCGGTTGTCGATTGTGCGCCACCTCTCTCCATCCAGAAACGTCGCCTCCCTGCACACATCCTGCTCCTGCAGACGAAAGCACTACAAATGCCACCTAAGGATCTGGGCTGGGTTCTATGCCACTGGTACTGGATGGCCCTGAGGGGCGCAAAGCCAGATGCGGGGCAAGCGCACCTAGCTTGCCCTCCTCTTCCCTCTCTCGACTGCCCCTCCCTTTCCCTTCCCCTCTCCCTCTCCTCTCCTCCTCATCCATATCCCCCTTCCCTCCTGCCCCTCCCTCCCCCTCCCCCTCCAATTCCCCCCCCTCCCCCCCCCCCCCCCCTTCCCCAGCCATCCCTTTCCTCCACAATTGCGCATTACCCTGGCGACGTACCCAACCCTTGCGCAATGCGGGGCATACGTACATCAGGATTGCTACAACGGGGGCGATGACGTAACATGGACGCATGTGATTTTGCGAGCAGCAATCGGAAGGCTCGCAGGCCCCCAATCAAGATCTAAGGGCTACGTCATAACAAATCACCCCTGTTGGCTGTGCCATGCGCCCGTTGCACCCAACGTATCCCGCAGCAGCTCTTGAGAGCTCCCGCGGGATACTTGTAGGCGCAACGTTATGGCCATCGCCCGGCAGAAGGTCTGTTTCACAAATCACCCCCGTTGGCTGTGCCATGCGCCCGTTGCGCCTAACGTATTCCGCAGCAGCTCTCCAGAGCCCCCCCAGGGACGGCGAGGTCCCGCTCAGATCCCCGCGGTGCCTCACTCCGCAGGACCCACCAGCAGCCCTCGAAAGTGGCGACGATGTCGCAAATCGCAGCCCCCCAGGGACGGCGAGGTCCCGCTCAGATCCCCGCAGTGCCTCACTCCGCAGGACCCACCAGCAGCCCTCAAAAACGGCGACAATGTCGCAGATCGCAGCCCCCCAGGGACGGCGAGGTCCCGCTCAGATCCCCTGCGGTGCCTCACTCCGCAGGACCCACCAGCAGCCCTCGAAAGTGGCGACACAATGTCGCAAATCGCAGCCCCCCAGGGACGGCGAGGTCCCGCTCAGATCCCCGCGGTGCCCACTCTGCAGGACCCACCAGCAGCCCTCGAAAGTGGAGACGATGTCGCAGATCGCAGCCCCCCAGGGACGGCGAGGTCCCGCTCAGATCCCCGCGGTGCCTCACTCCTGCAGGACCCACCAGCAGCCCTCGAAAGTGGCGACAATGTCGCAGATCGCAGCCCCCCAGGGACGACGAGGTCCCGCTCAGATCCCCGCGGTGCCTCACTCCGCAGGACCCACCAGCAGCCCTCGAAAGTGGCGACAATGTCGCAAATCGCAGCCCCCCCAGGGACGGCGAGGTCCCGCTCATCCCCGCGGTGTCCGCAAGACCCACCCTCGAAAGTGGACGACAGTGTCGCAGATCGCACCCCCCCCAGGGACGGCGAGGTCCCGCTCAGATTCCCGCGGTGCCTCACTCCGCAGGACCCACCAGCAACCCTCGAAAGTGGCGACGATGTCGCAAATCGCAGCCCCCCCAGGGACGGCGAGGCCCCGCTCAGATCCCCGCGGTGCCTCACTCCGCAGGACCCACCAGCAGCCCTCGAAAGTGGCGACGATGTCGCAAATCGCAGCCCCCCAGGGACGACGAGGTTCCGCTCAGATCCCCGCGGTGCCTCACTCCGCAGGACCCACCAGCAGCCCTCGAAAGTGGCGACAGTGTCGCAGATCGCGGCCCCCCAGGGACGGCGAGGTCCCGCTCAGATCCCCGCGGTGCCTCACTCCGCAGGACCCACCAGCAGTCCTCGAAAGTGGCGACAGTGATACAAATCGCAGCCCCCCAGGGATGGCCAGGATCGCGCAAGGCAAGAGGAGACAAGACGGAAGCGGGAGACGGGAGGCGGGAGGAGAAGGAGGAGAACTGGAGACCGCAGTGCTCTCTTCAAAACGAATACCCAACCAAGGAGGGTTGGGAAATATGAATACTGCTCTCCTCTCTCCCCTGACTCTGTCCGGAAGATGTTGGGCCCCCCTACGCGTACGGTTTTCTTAAACACTGGATTCTGGCGAATTGGTCTCGCATTTGTCTTGTTACACACTCGTTTCTTCCCGGTCCTTCATCATGTTGTTCCCGCTACAGCGCTGGCCTCATTTTCGGGCTTCCGCCTGTTCCGAATCGTGCTCCCGCTGCAGCGCTGACTTCATGTCCGCGCTTCCGCTCGATCCGAATCGTGCTCCCGCTACATCGCTGGCCTCATTTCCGCGCTTCTGCTCATTCCGAATCGTGCTCCCGCTGCAGCGCTGGCCTCATTTCCAGTGTCATACCATAGCATGCAATCCAATGCTATGGTGTGTTCCGCTGAACGATGCCATGTCTGCAGCTGCAATGCTATACTACGCAGTGCCACGCCATGCTATGTCATGCTACGCGTTGATCTTCAACGCCATGTTATGCCATGTATTGCTATGCCATGCTACGACATCCGAGAGCGCGAATAGAGAGGATATCTACGCCATGGTAAGGGATCGGAGGGAAGGACAGGACGTCAGATAAGACGCTTGCGCACCTATCTTGCTGCCCCCCCGCTTCCCTCCCCCCCCATCCCTCCCCTCCCTCCTCTCCCCTCCCCCCCATCCCTGCTCCCCCCTCCCCGCCCCCCCCCCCCTCTCCCATCCCCTCTCCCTCTCCTCCCCTCGTATTCCTCATCTTCTCCCTCCACCCTGCCCCTCGGACTCTCCCCCCCCTCAGCCCCCCCCCCCCCTCCCCGCTCCGCCCCTTTCCCCACCCCTCCCAGCACCGTCCCCATCCCAGACATGCGACGTCTCAATTTTTTCAATACGCGGCCATTGGAAGTCCCGACCCTTTCCCAGGGACCAGCTTCTCATCCTGAGTCATATCTTGACGGGCCCCGGGCCCGTCGAGGGCCCCGAGGTACCGAAAATGATGAAAAACCTCCGTCCTGCGTTTTTGAAGATGCGATCATGTCTGAGACTTCGACCGAGGATTTCGAGGCGAATCCAGCCGTGGCGACGAGGGCTTCCCAGGAGGCCCAAAAAGGGGAAAACGAGGAAATGGCAGCGGTATGCACACCTTGTCCGCCTCAGACCCCCGCCCCTCCATGTGACGTCCAAATGTTTCCACCCGACTGGCCGAACACAGCGGAAAACCTCCGTCTTGAATGTTTGAAGACGCGATCATGCCTGGGAGCCCTGCTCCGAGGCCGTCCGGCCGATCTCCTGCTCCCGGTCCGTCCGGCCCCTGTCACCGCGGCGCCGGGAGCCCGAGCGCGACCTCTTCGCGCCTGCCAGCGGCGGGGGCCCCGCCCGCCCCTCGCCGCCTCCCCAGCTTTCCCTCGCTGCCCCCTCCTCCTCCTCCTCCTCCTGCTGCTCCTCCTCCTCCTCCTCCTCCTCCTCCTCCTCCTCCTCCTCCTCCTCCTCATGATCATTTTCCCCCTCCTACTCCATTCCTGCTCGTTCTAAATAACTCCTCACTGTCGCGCCCCAAAGCTTCTCGAAAGGGCGGGCCGGGCATTTCGTTTCAAACGTCCTGTCCGTTTAAGATCACGAAGCTGGAAAAATGCAAGAGCTTCAGGGATCGAAGGCGATGGTTTTCCAAATGTGGTTTTATCCTTCGTGCCGCGCGCGCTCGTCTTAGAAATGTGTAAGAGCTTCGAGCTTCATGGATCGAAGGCGGCGGGTGATTTTCAACATGTGGCTCTCGCCGTAGCGCCGCGCTTTACAAAGTTGCAAGACCTCCACGGATCGAGGCGGGTGGCCTTCAAAATGTGGTTCTCGCCTTGCGCCGCGCAGTCGCCTTAACACATTGCAAGTGTTTCGCGGATCGGGGGCGGCGGGTTTTCAGCATGTGGCTCTCGCCTCGGTGTCGCGCACATTCCTCTGACAACATTGCAAAAAGGTTCACGGATCGAAGGCGGTTCGTTTTCAACATGTGGCTCTCGCCCTAGAGCCGCACACGCTCGTCGAAACAAGTTACAAGAGTTTCGCGGATTCCCATGGCTAGCTTTGGAACGATTCAGGGCTGTCACGCGCAATAGTTACATTGATTCGCGGTGTTGTCCCAGGAATGGTGCTCTGGCACGACTTAAGATCGTCAAGACGCAACAGTCACTTGATTCGTGGCGGTGAAGTTCCGAAAATGGTGCTTTAGCATGTTTCAGGATCTTCCAAAGGTTTTCCCCGTCGGGGTATTTCCCCGCAGTGGGCATGGATCCCTGTAGGGGCCTATGAAGAGGGAGTTTCCTCCTCCTCTTCCTCCTCCTGTTACCTGTAACCCCTTTTTCGAGCGGTCAATTCCACGCCTGCTACTGAGCTCGGGGCACGCCTACTTGGAGGCACCGACACTGCATCTAGACACGGCACCGCTGGACCGCACGAGCGGCGAGAGGCGACGGCGACGGACGCACGCGGCGAGTGAGAAGAACGACGAGGACCGACGAGGAGGACGCGGAAAAGAAAACGCAACCGCCGCGACCCCGCGCGGGCCAGAGCCGCCGATCCCGAATCCCTACGCTCGGCTCGTCCCCATACCTTCTTCCCTCACTGCTTGATGCGACGAGCGAGCGCGCCCCGCGGAGCTCGGCCCGCCTTGGCCGTCGTTCCCCAGCCGCGCAGGATCTGGTGCAGAACGGACTTCACTTCCACGGCCCTAACGCGGCTTCCGACATCGGAATATCGCAGGGGGACCTTTGCAAAACACTCTCGAAGGCGTCGTCCGTCGCTGCTCCTCCCCGCGCCTCGCTTTTCTGCCGCTCCAATTTCTTGGCGGTCTCGGCGTTGGTGGCAACCAAAATATGGCCCTGAATTGTGAACGTGATCCTCCTCGCCACTCCCACGTCGTGCCTCGGGGACAAGGTGGACTCTTTCACTTGGCCCGCTACTTCCTCTGGATCCGACTGCTGCATCGTCGCCGCCAGCCTCGCGCGCGCCCATCGGTGCTTCTTCGGCTGACCAGTGCGCGACTCCTCTGCCACCCAGTTCTCGCAGACGGCCAGGGCCCCTCCAACCACCTGGAGTTCGGGCGGGCCCTAGGAGTGGCCGCCCCCCGCCTCCTTCACCTTGGCGGCGCGCACCTGCGTCAAATATGCGGCTGCTCTCGGAGCCCTCGAAGAAAAAGTTCGATGGCTACCTCGGAGCAGGCGCAGAAGCCCCTGCTCGACATGGGCACCTCTGTCTGGTGGGAGATGAGGTAGCCCGTGACATCTCGAAGGTAAAAGACAAGCCCTGCGCCGAATACATCGAAATTGTAGGCCGCGCACCAGGGGGGCAATCGCGACGAATAGATCAAATCGGCCGGCACATGCCCATGAAGTCCAGCACGCGCGTAGGAGATTTCAGGCACCTTGAAATTTCACGAGCGTCAGGGGACAGCTGGCCCCCCTCCTCCAGGGCGGCCGTCGTTCTGGCCCACGGGGTGGCTGAATGCGCCTCCACCCAAGGGCATGGCACCGACGGCTTCGCTTGCCGTCTCTCCCCCGGCCCCAGCCGCGGCCCCCCTTCGGCTTGGTCCTTGGTTTTCCAAGCACCCCGCAACTGCTGCTCGTCCACAGTCCGAAAACTGCGCGCTGGCTCGATGGCAGTGCGCGTGACGGGATCCTTCCAAAGAAAAGAAACGCGAAAACCGTTAGGAAATCCGGTGGAGCGAAATCCGCGCAGGTGATCGTCCAATTCCAGATCCCGTCGCCCATGGGTCTGGCGCGGCGGGGGCTAAGCTCGCCCGGCCTGATTTTCGAGCGAGCGGTCGGGGCCGCACGAAGACCCTTGATGGCTTTACTGGAATACGCTGCCAACTTTCGTCTGAGTTTTTGGCGCAATCATCTGTCAGGGAAGGGCCAAGGAAATTCAACGTGGCCAAGGGAACGAACGCGTCCTTGGGCATGCAAAGGGTGCTTGGAACATCCCGCTCGTTTTCTTCATCCCTGGCGTAGTGTCTGGCTTCTGATCGGTACAAACCTACAGCACAGCGTTGAAGGCCGGAGTATTGGCATTCGACTTGAGAAGAACAAATGTCTGCTTTACCGGATGGGTAGGGCTGGCGGGGGCCCTGAAATTCAAGTAGGCCCTCAAGACATCTCGTCGGGGGGCGATCGTTGCCGCCTGGATCTTCCGAGCCTTCGAGTCGGGGGCTCTAGCGCCGACCTCCATCGTTTCTATATGATAATTCTCGCCATTGCCCTCGGACCCGACTGCTGAACGCGCAGCCAGTGCTTGTTCAGGAGCAAGGGCCATGCGCGTGGCCAGATCTGCCATGGCGTCGGCATGGATGTCCGCGAAAAGTAACAATACTATAATATCCTTGAAGATAACTCTGAGCCAAACCAGCTGGCGCATCATGCTCGCATATTACTCGGTGGGGGGCGGCGCGTGTGAGTTGGATAAATCTATGGATGCCAGTTTAAAAATAAACCTTGCGCAGTAGCTAGAATGCGAAATCAACGTCTGGCATTAAGTGGCCATCCGAAACATGCACGACGCAACTTGCAACTGCGCCCACGCCGAAGACGACCATGCGCATTCGCTCAATGCGCACCGCAGCGCGCGCAAGGATGATCACGGAGCCTCGCGCGCGTCAACGTACGCGTGCGAGTCAAACACATATCATGGCGCATCAGGGGACATGGTTTGCGACGGCAGAATTGTTTGGGCCTGTCACGTTCATCATTCGGGCGTTCTGCTCGGCAGAAAAAAACAAGCATGGGCAATCATATTTCCTGGCTGGGCGGGAGGGGCGCAGCCGCCGATCTGCGTGCGAGGCGCCAGGGTCTGGAACCAGCTCGGAAGACCAGGGCGGCGATAGTGCGCGACCAGGCCGAAGGGCGCTGCTCGGTATCTGAGACCTTTCCATAACCCCCCATACAACGCCCACAATCGCGACACCAAGCGACACCAAAAACACGAACGACATGTGATACTTTGGCTTGTACCGCATTTCTGCCCCAATATCTGTGCTTCGATCGGGTGAACAATCGTCATTTCGTCCAACTGTTTCCGCCCGTCCGCGGGTGGCAACCCTCCGGGCGGCGCTGTAGTCGAGCTTGCGGCGCAATTGGCTTGGCCGCTCGGCCCGGGGGTAACCTTCGGGCAAGGTGCGGAGTGTGGAGCAGGAGGTGGTGGCGCAGCTTGAGGGCCTTGAGGGTCGGGGGTTGGGGCTGGGGAGGACGAGGCTGCAGCTGGTCGGCGCACCGCTGGCGCGGACCCTGAAGTATTTGAATGCGGGGCCAGCGCCGGCGCGCCTTCCTGACTATGCGCTGGCTGGGCTGGCTGAGCAGGCGGCGGGGGTCGGGCTCGCTCACCCCTCGGGCGTCTACAGGGGGAAGGGTCAGGACCAGAAGCCTCGGGGGCCACGTGGAGGCCATCAGGGCCGCTTGAGGGATCACGTGCGCGGTGCTGCGCACGAAGAGCGGCTGGGGCAACATGTCGAACCATCTTCTCCCGTAGCCTGGCCGCTGGGCCCTGGCGCTCGCAGTGCATGATGCGCTTCTTGTAACCTTTCCAATGCCAGAAATCCCATTAAGATTTTGCACGGGCAGACACCGGCAAGGCAATGTTTGGTCATCGTGCGTTGCTGGAGGTTGAGGCGGAGGGCTCGGCTCTCTTGCGGTGCTCGAGGGTCGCCGACGGCATGACGTCGCCGCCGCTCATCTCGACTAGTTTCGATGCGTCTGTCGCGCCCCCACTTCCGCATAAGTCTTGCCCACGGTAATCGGCCACATGCGTCTTGGGCTCCCTCCTCGCGCCGGCGCTGTCGAGGAGCATCCGCAAATGTCATAAGTGCTTAAATATTTGTTCCACGATGCTGCGCGGAACCCAAGCCGAGAGCCACCAACAGTCTCGGTCGAAATAAACTCTTCTCCAGGATGGAGCCATAGTACTTGTCTATCGACCCGACCTTTTGGCCGACGCAATTTGGTGGCCCACAAGCTGTGATCGGCACTAGTCGATGTAGAGGTCAACGCGAGCCATCTTGATGAGCTTTCGGAGGTCATGCATCGTCTGCTTCTCGTCGCGCATCAGAGAACGGCGCTGGTGTAGAAGTCCAAGTGGACACTTGTTCAAGAACCCTTGGTATGTCTGCAAACAGAGGCTCGTGAAAGTTCGGTTTTCACACCCCGAGAGGAAGCAGGCCAGAGCAGTGGCCCTGAACAACATATCCAAGTGTTCCTGGTCGAATTGGAGGCTGCTGGGTTGAGAGCATGGGCGACGCCATGCAATCCCAACCTTCTGGAGGCGCTTCTCGGTGCCCGCGCTGATTTTACGATCCCTACGCAGCCGAACCCCAAGGAAAAGAGCTGTTTCTGCAAATTATTCGGAGAGGTCGGGCCCGGCGCGCAGACGCTCCAGCATATCGGGATGGACCGTCTCAGACCACTCTTCAAGAACCTGTTCCAGCAGTTTTTCCACCTCAGGGTGGCGAGATAGGCGGGATCGGAGGCAGGTGGCGTCCGCGAGCGCACGTCAAATAGCCTGCGCTCTCGAGCGATACTGGGGAACCTCAACGACGTTAATCATTGCACACCGCTTCCCGAACATCTTTGCCGCATGCTTCCATGATATCTGCGCTGGAAGCCACGAGCGGGTCGAAATGATCGTTCTTCTTGTAATCCACTTCGAGGCAGCTTCAAATAAAAGGCGCAGAATAACAATGGGCCAGCAACTGATCGTTGGCGTCGGAGTCCACACCGGGCCGGAGGTGAGATGCGATTCCACTCCGCGTGCGCGAGCAATCTTTGGGCAATCAGGCGTGCAATCATGCGCGGGAGAAATGGCATCAACGCAATCTGGCGATGCAGATTGTGATCACTTCGGCTGCCGTTGCCGTTCCAGAAGTACCCCATGGGCCGCTCTGGCGCCCGCTTCCTTCCCACTGCGAGTGAGCCGTGCGCCACATCGGCCGCGCAAGGGCAACGATTTCTTCCAGCACCTCGGCGCCCGCAGCGCGGACCGCGCCGATGGCAACTTCGTCCTTGCTAGCCGAAAATTCTTTCATATCTGTCAAGAAAAATGTTAAATTTCACCCCGAGAGGGCAATGGACCGAGCCCTTCCTGCACTTGTACTTCGGGGAGACCGCGGGAAAGGACTTCAGCTTCAACGCGTTCTGGGAGGCCTGGCGCACTTTTGAAACGATGGATCATCCTCTCGGCGGCGACTTGCCCTTGGCCTTCTCGGCTCCTGTCGTGGACGCGGATGCCCAGCTTTCTGACATCGCGAAAGAAAGCCCCCCAGTCGTTAGCATCGGCGAAAGTCGCGACGTCTTCGGTGATCGGTCGGGCCCATCGATGCCGAGCACGATGCGTGCGGCGAACAACTTGACGACCTACCAACTTGTGCTCACCACGATACTGCTGCTATTCTGCTAGGGCGCCCGCTGCTGGTTAAGCCTCCCAAGGCCGAGCTTTCTTCTCGCGGAGATCTAACATTTTCTTCAAGCCCCCTGGAGGAAGCGGGCGCCTAACTGTGCTGGTGTGTTTCCACGACCAAGAATCTCCTCAGCTGCTTGCGCCATGATGTTTGGTTTTTGGCCCCAAGACATGTGCGCGCTGCCACCAGGGCGGTCCCTTGACGCACATCTGCCGCGCAAGGATCCGCCGCGTGCTGCAGGTCTCCGGGCAAGGAGACGCTCCCAGACATACTTGGTGGAAGAGGGTCAATCGCTTCCTCGATGGGCTCATATTCGGGGGGGCTGTCGAGCTCGACATCAAGATCGCCAGACGGGTCGGCATATTCCTGGCCAAGATAGCTGATGACAGGTAGGGGCCGCGACGGCGCGGCGGAGGCCGAAGGCAGGCGAACTTAAAGCCGTGGTCTGAGGTGGGGGGGCAGGGCCTGGAGGCGCAGGCACAGTTGCCAGGATTGTTGCCCTCGCGGTAACACTCACCTCCAAGCCTGCCCTCCATCCCCAAGCACTGCACGCGTGCCCGAGAACGATGGGATCGATGTCGACGCCGCTGGGGCGGTCGGTGGTTCCGCCGAGAGATCCCGCAACTTTAGCTCCTGATTCGCGCCTCTGTCTGCGTTCTCGTCTGCTCGGTCATTGCCCGCGTCGCCTGCGCGCCCCTTGACGTGTGTCGAGGCAGAATCACGCGCGCGTCGGACTCCACGGTGGAAAGCTCGACCAGCGGCATAAACGCCCACTGGTGCCCCTCCGCCAGCTCCCAATAATCACGTTCACAGCGTATTGCGGGCCATAATGCATGGCAACGATGTCCCCGTCGCTTGCGCTCTGCGGAATGCACCGCGTCGCCGCGACCGGTCGGAGAGCCCGCCCGCGTTGTTTGCATGTTCTGTTGCCCCCGAGAATGTCTGCTGCAAATTTGAATTTTCAAATGCAACCGCCGGGCTGTGAAATTCCCGCCATGCTTGCTGATGTGCACCAAGAACTGCCATGCCCCAACCGGCGCTGTCTGAATTTCCTGAGCCGTCTGAATATGCGAATGTGCCGCGTGGCTGTCGACGGCGCTGCTCGGAATTCTTGGCGATGGCGTTGAGGGCGCCAGACAGGATGAGCTCTAAGTAGTTGCTGTACGCGACCACGATATTGACGGCGTAATCTGCGGGCATCTTCAGATGGGCCGCGACAGCGGTGCAATTGAAGAGGGGGTTTGACAGCTTGAATTTGGGCGTCGCGCAATCGTCGTCGATGAAATTGTCGCCTCGCGTTTCGCCGCGCACGTGCGTCAGACTTCGGCACGTAAAGATAGTTGCTGCGTCCTGATCCGAAATCCCCCAAGAGCGCAACGACGCGCCCGAGTCATGCGGGAAGTTCGATCCACTGCATATTTGTCAAGCTCATGCCATGGACCAATTCTGCGCTTCCATAATCCACGCGAGACGATCGGGTAGAAAGTGCCCTTGTTCATCATATGTGTAACAGATAGCCAGCGGAGAAGCTCCGGTGTTTCATCCGTAACCTTTTGTTTCATTCGGTGTTCACCCAGTTGAATGTCGATCGGTACTGCATCGCAACCTACAAATCCGCTCCATTCCCCACATGCACATGCAGGAGCGCGCCAAAGTTTGATGCATCTATGGCGGACATCTGTACCTGCGCGCTGCAGGTGACCGTGCCGCCGCTGGGGGCATGCATGCTGATGAACAAAACAAAAAATAGCCGTCGAGTATTAAGGGGCAGGCTGCACGCCGATCCTCCCCGATAAAAACAAGGGATCCGAATGGACCGCAGAGCACTGGAGACGGCCCGCCAGGCCAATTGAGCTGACTTCGAAAAAGGGAAACCACATGTTTCGACCATGATGAGTACGAGCTCTTCTACATTGACGACGGCTGGGGATTGTCGTCCTTCTCGCAGGTTTTATTGTGAGCTCGGAGAGGCGACGGACATCTGCGCCGCCGCGGCGCTGCTCAATAAAAAACCTCTGGAGCTTGTCTCAATTATCGAATCGGCTCCAGCCAAGCCCACCAGCGCTGGCGAGTCGATCCTGTTTTCTTGTCCAACGCGCAGTCGTGAGGGACGATGAGGATATTTAACTATGAATTTGCGCCGTCCCGCTCTCGATGTTGTCGCAGCCCCGTCAACCGCGGGCCGTCGACCTGCTGGGCTTGCAACCTGTGCGACGGTGCCATACTGCCCGAAACCCTCGGGCCGCTCGCCCGCCTTGCCACCGCGATACAAAAAGCAGAGCCGTCGAATCGCCATCGCTGAAGTCATTGCCACAAGGATCGGAGGGATTTCGGCAGCAACCCTTCGACCAAAAACGCAGAAGAAGACCCGCTGCTCCTCGCTGGCCCCGTAAGAGGCCCCCTCCACCAGCGCGTCGCGCCCCTCATGGCCCCCTGGGCCACGGCAATCAGCTCGTGGTCCTTCTGGGCGAACATCTGCGTTCAATTCTCGTGCTCGGGCTATCTGTCTCTCGTCTCCAGCTGACGCGCCAGCCGCTTCGCCGCGATGCCGAGCTGCGCGTTCGCCTGGGACGCGCGCCCTGAGCGCGCGGTGATCATCCGAAAAAACCTGCACAACCGACACTCCGCGATGCCCTCCCTGGCGTTCCCGCCGCTCCTGCTCTTGTCCCCGATACTACGCCCCTTAGATGGAGACGCCTGCATGCGCTTCTCTGCCCGGGCCCTGGAACAAAAAATCGCCCCGCATATCGCGCGCTGGCTTGATGCGCGGCATGGTCGCGCCATCGCCGCCCCTCCGTGCCCCCCCCCCCCCCTCTTTCGCGCGCGTGGCATGGCGATGGCTGCTGCTAAGTCTGGAAGACGGCCTTGCGTTGCGCCCCGCCCTCCAGCCTGGCCCAGCAACGGCCCCCCCCCCCTCGCCCTCGAGGCCCCCCTGCACCTTCCGCCCCCCCGTTCACATTCATGTCGGCGGGAAAAAATGCGAAATGATATCACCGACATCTGGCGCAGCGAAGCCCCCCCCCCCCCCCCTCCTCGAGCAACGCGCGCGCAGGCGACGTTCCAACTCTTCCAGGCAGCGCAGGTCCGCCACCGAAATGGGCAAGGTTGGGCGCCACCTGCAGCCATTGGCGCGCCCGCGGGCGCAGCGGCGCCACGAACTCAGCCAGCAGCTCGCGACCCTGTGGACCTCGACTTTGCCGGGCGACGCCGCGGGCACTGGCCTGCCCCCCATCGGGGCATCGCGCCGGCTGCCGCAGCCGCCGCAGCCGTCGCGCGCGCACTTCAGCGCGCAGCGACGCCACCTTCACCTTCGCCAGCACCTCCAAGTTCGCGAGGCTCGGAGTCCTCCGCCCGCGCCGCCTTCAGCGGCGCTGGCCGCAAAGCCTTCCAGCTGGTCCAGGTCATTCCTCTCCAACGACCCCGTCGACTTCGCAATCGCCCCCAGCCCCGCCAACAGCGCGTTCGCCGCGCGGCCCCTGAAGAAGATCGCCTTCCACGTGAGCGGCGCCCCCGGCGCCCGGCAGTTCCCCAATTTCGCGCCAATTCTCCTGCCACCAAGCTAATCTCCACATCTGGGGCCACTCCGAACCTCGCCAATCACCTCGGGTCTAGGTGCCTCGCCTCCATCACCGCGCGCCCCTGCAGCACCTGCTCGCCGAACAAGGTCCTCTCGGTCCCGCGCGCCCCCCTTCCCGCGCAGAACACCGGCGGCCCCTACTTCTCCGCGTTCTGGGCCATGTGCGTCTTCTCCAGCGCCACGCTCGCCCTTTCGTTATTCGTTCTGGGCCACCCCTTACCGATCGCCTCCTTCATCGATGCAGAAGAGAAAGCGCCCGCCACGTCGTCAGCGCACAGGGTCATCACCAGCTGCGTCTTGCCCTCGGCCTCGAGCGGTGACCATCCCACCGCCCGCGTCAACGCGCGCCCCTCCATCCCCGTCGTCCCGTGCGCGTGCGCCACCGCGAACAGCCGCGCAGTCGCTGGCCCCCCCGGCATGCCCCCCGCCCCCCCCAGGCGCCGCACCTCGTCCTCGGGCGAGCAGTCGAACGCGGAATGCGCATGGTCCAACCTTAGCATCACCAGCGGGACGTCCTTCTCCGCCATCGCCCTCATCGCCGCCATCTTCAACGTCGCCTGGCCCGTCGAGAAGAAGGCGCTGGCAGCGTCGTGAACTCGTCGTCCATGTTGTATCCCTGCTCTCCTCATCCTCCACGCCGCCGCCTTCTGCGTCGCGATTCCACCTTCTCTCCGTCGCCCCCTCAAGCCCCCGCGCGCCCGCGCCGGGGGACGTCGAAGGCGCCCCCCATTGCCATCCCGCCGCGCTGCACTTTGGCCAGCGCGCGCGCCAACATCGCGATGCGCTCGCCTCCGCCTCCACCTTGTCGGTGCCATTGCCAATGCGACCCGCTTTCGCCATCGCCCAGCTCCTGGGCCGTGCCAGCCCCGACCTGGCCTCGAACATCAGCGCGCGCATCGCCTGAACTTCGGCGTCTTCGGCTGCTCCACCTCGCCCTGTAATCCCACTCCCCCCCGCCGCTTCCACGGCCCTCTCGTTGACCCACGTCGGGGAGAAGGCGCGCCTGATCAGCTCCATTGGACTGGCCCAGCTCGGCACAGCACGACCCAGCTCCGCATTCCACCGCGCACTCTTCAGCATGCTGAAGTCCTCCTCCAACCCTTCGTCCGTGACCGCACTCGCCCACGGGCGTTTGGCCTCCAGCTCGCGCTGCACCTCCACTGTCGCCGTAGCCGTCGCCGAACGCCCTCCATCAGGTCCTCGCCCTTGCACTTTTTCTTCCCATTCACCTCGCGTGCCCTCGATCCCGCGCTTCCCAACAACTCTAGTCCTTGAGCCTCGATGCCCCTGCGCCAAGAATCTCGTCATCCGATGCATCGTCGCCCACAGTGGCTTCGCGTGCGACCTCTTCCTCTTTCTCAGCCATTCGCTGACCCTCCTCAGCTCGATGGTCAGCCCCAACTCCCTTGTGCACAAATCTTCGACCTCCTGCTCCACGTCGTAGCCCGTCTTCTCCACCTCCTCCATCTACTTCAGGTGCTGAAGCTCCTGGAACTTCTCTGTGGCTGCCCGTCTCTGCTGCAATCGTTCTGACACATTTGCGCTCTGCCTGTTGTGGCCCTCTGTGTACAGCGGGGATTTCGCACATGCTAAAACTCCAGCCCTGCTCAATGCATCCATCATGTCATCGTTCGCCGTATCAATTTTCTTGCCCTTGGCCATCAGCGTCTCCATCTCTTGATCTGAGACTCCATGAACGTCTTCTCCTCCAGCCAGCCTGCCATCATGGACATCGCTTCCCTGTTGGTGATGACCCTTCTCATTCTGCACATGCTACCAGGCCGCGCAGGCCATCGTCATCTCCAGCGCCAGTGGCGCGCGGTCCCACAAGGACTTCTGGGCGTGCACCTGTAGCCTCCATGCGTTCTGCTCCATCACGCCTCCAACTCTCAGGGATCACAGTGTTGTCGTCGTCCTCCTCCTCATCCTCCTCCTATTCCTCCTCCTTCTCCTCCTCCTCCTCCTCCTCCTTCTCCTCCTCCTCCTCCTCCTCCTCCTCCTCCCCCTCCTCCTACTCTTCCTCTTCCTCTTCCTCTTCCTGCTCGTCCTCTTCCTCCTCCCCTTCCTCTTCCTCCATCACAATTTCTCCTCCTCCGCCTCGTCCTCTTCCTCCTCCTTCTCCTCCTCCCCTCTTCCTCCTCCTCCTCCTCCTCGTCTTACTCTTCTTGACCGCATACGTATGCGCACGATAGGTCGCACATCGCTGGCAATGTGGTGTGCACTGGTGCTGCGTTGCCCACGGCAGCTGTGGTGTACGCAGGCGTTGTGGTGTACACAAGCGCTGTGGTGCACGCAAGCACTGTGGTGCAGACTGGCGCTGTGTTGCACGCGGCTGCTGTGGTGTACATAGGCGGTGTGGTGTACACAAACGCTGTTGTGCACGTAGGCACTGTGGTGTACACAGGCGCTGCGGTGCAGATCGCCACCTACATGCTGCTGCCACCTGTCCATCCTCGGTTGTTCCTAGGCATTTCCAGACGCCGCTGGCGCGTAACGTGACGCCATCGGCCCCCTCCCCCCCCAGATGACGGCCGTCGTCGGCCCGGAATAAAACAATTAGCCTGGCGAAAGACCCAACCATATGCAATTGTGAGAAGTGCATTTGTAAATACAGTCTTCGGTGGAGCTCCCCGTGGGGCCAAGAAACGTGTGAGGGATGTGCAAACGTGGGTGGCTACGCATGCGGGCGGTGGCTGGGACCTCCAGTGGAGCTCCCTATGGGGCCACGAAACGTGTGAGCGGTGTGCAGAAATGCGTGTGCGTGACGCATGCGGTCGGCGGCGCTGTGGCATTCGGTGGAGCTCGCCATAAAGCAACGAAGCGTCAAAAAAACGTGTGAGAGGTGTGCCGAAATGAGTGTGGCAGACGCCTGAGGGCGTTCCCAGTGGGACCTTCGGTGGAGCTCCCTATGGGGCCACGAATCGTGTGAGGGGTATGCCGAGATGGGTGTGCGTGACGCATGCTGGCTGCGCCACTGGGGCCTTCGGTGGAGCTCCCTATGGGGCCACGACACGTGTGAGTGGTGTGCCGAGATGGGTGTGCGTGACGCATGCGGGCTGCGGCACTGGGACCTTCGGTGGAGCTCCTCATGGGGCCAAGAAACGTGTGAGGGGTGTGCCGACATGAATGTGGCGGACGTCTGCGGGCGCTCCCAGTGGGACCCTCGGCGGAGCTCCCTATGGGGCCAAGAAACGTGTGAAGGGTGTGCCGAAATGGGTGTGCGTGACGCATGCTGGCTGCGCCACTGGGGCCATCGGTGGAGCTTCCTATGGGGCCACGAAACGTGTGAGGATGTGCCAAAACGTGTGTGTGTGTGTGTGTGTGTGTGTGTGTGTGTGTGTGTGTGTGTGTGTGTGTGTGTGTGTGTGTGTGTGTGTGTGTGTGTGTGTGTGTGTGTGCGTGGCACATGCGGGCTGCGCCACTGGTACCTACGGTGGAGCTCCCTAGGGGGCTACGAAGCGTGTGAGGGGTGTGCCGAAATTGGTGTGCGTGACGCATGCGGCCTGCGCCATTGGGACCTCCGGTGGAGCTCGCTATGGGGCCACGAAACGTGTAAGGGGTGTGCCGAAATGGGTGTGCGTGACGCATGCGGGCTGCGCCACTGGGACCTTCGGTGGAGCTCCCTATGGGGCCATGAAACGTATGAGGAGTGTGCCAAAATTGGTGTGACGACGATGATGGTGATGATGACGATGACGATGACGATGACGATGACGATGACGGTGATGATGATGATGATGATGATGATGATGATGATGATGATGATGATGATGATGATGATGATGATGATGATGATGATGATGACGATCTCGATGATGATGATGATGATGATGATGATGAGGAGGAGGAGGAGGAGGAGGAGGAGGATGAGACGAGGAGGGAGGGGGCAGCGGGAGGAAGGAAACGCGGTGCGATGTCTCTTCAAAACGAGGACCGAACACCAATGGATGGTTGTGACGGCGGTTGTCGGCCCGGAATAAAACAAAAAACATGCTCCTCCTCGATGAGTATCGCGAGCGCAGGTGGTGGGGCGGAAAGCGAGTCGTAAGCGAACCGACGACGATACCACTCTACCCTCCGTTTCCCTCGTCCTTCAATCCGCAGCGATCCCCGATGCCTTTTTTTGCCAATCTCCTCCACTTGTCCTACCAACCGTCTGTAGCGTTCAGGTTCACGCTGCTGCTGGACATCCCTTGCATCCCATTGCAAATTCGCATGCTATGTTGTATCGATGCCCGCCCTATTCCCCCCCCTCGCGCACCCCCCTGCGTTTTCCTCCCTCTGGGGAACCGGACCCTGGCCGTACGATGCACGATGCGGGCATTCGCCCTAGTAGAGAGTGGTGATGGGGGCAGATGTACTAGGGGCCGCGGGGGCAATGTTCGCTACTGACTGTTCAGGGCGGGACAACATTGTTTTTGAGCTTTAGGCTCCGCACTTCTGGTGGGGCCCCAGACGGCGCTTATAGGCTACAGGTGGGATCTAGGACGGCGCTGCGGAGCTTGACGCTTCCTCCTGCCGAGTCGAACCGATCCACGCCCCTCGTGTCTGTCGTCCTCTCTTTCCTCCCTCCTCTGATGAGTCAAGGAGGCCGTCGCCGCGCGGATCTCGGCCGCAGCGCCTCTCTCCTCGGCCTTCCGCTTGTCGTCCAGGATCTCGGCCAGCCGCCGGGGCACGCCCTCCAGAGCGGGGAAGCCCCGACTGCCCCATCCAGGCCCCTGACTTCTCCCCGCCCCTACCCGTCGTACCCGACCCCGATTCCCCGCATTTCAGATTTCCATGCACTGCTTACTGCAAAGACCATTCTGACGAGCCCACCGCCGCCCCAATTCGGAGTTTTCATTGGATCGGAAATTCAAGCTGGAGACAAGCTCGATACATGACCCATTTGGAAACATATCAACTGTACATCCATAAACAATGTAGTTAACGTTGCGACGTTAGTCTGACTTGCTTTCATAGCATTGCATGTTTTGCTCTGCTTCTTGTGCTTTGATATGCTCTGATATGCTGCGGTCTGACCTCGCTTTGCATCGATCTCTGTGCTGTCCTGTTTGTTGCAAAGCCTTGAACGATTTGCAATGCGTTGTGCTGCTTTGCTATGTTTTGTTCTTCCTTCCTCCGAAAGCTTTGATTGCACTCCAGTGCGCCGCTTATTCTGCAAAGGAGCTTGCCAATCGGATATTGGAGTCTTGGCCCTTTCCCAAAAGAACTGGTCCACTGCACCGATACCCTCCCTCTATTTTGCCCCCACACGCGTCCTGTATTGCGCATGGCGTCAACTGTTGCGCATTGCTTCCTGTCTCCGCCTGGCTTCCTCTGCTATCCGCATCGCTTCCTCTGTATTCGCATGACTTGCTCTGCTATTCCAATGGCTTCCTGTGGCTATTCCAATGGCGTTCCAACAATCATCAAACTCCGAAGTAGAGTATAATGTAGTGAAGCAGAATTGAAAAGAACTGCGTAGTAAAGTAGAGTAGCGTGCGTATATCCACCACCGTACCTTCAGCATTTGGTGGAGTGCCCCAAGGCTCATGCAACCCTGAGGAATTCAGAGTTGCAAGATTTCGTGAAGTTTTCAACGCCCGGGCCACAAGGATTCCTCAGGATTTCCGGGGATTCCCCGGGCGTGTCGCGTGCGCCCTCCGGTTGCACAGCCGGCCCAACAAGCGCCCAGAAGGCCGAAAATACTTCCGAGAAGGCCCAAGAAACCCCCATATGCCCAAGATGGCCTCAACACGGCCAAAGAGGCCCCCGAGACGTCCTAAGAGTGTTCCAAGAGGCGTCCCAAGGGGTCCCCTATAAGTATTGGAAGGTTTTTGACCTTCTCGCCTTTTCGGCTTTCCGATGCTCCAAGACGGCCCGCGAGGCCCCCAAGATCGCCCCAAGACTGCCCCCGAGGCCCCCAAGAAGGCCCCAAGACGCCCCAAGAGGGCCCCAAGACGGCCCAAGAGGCGTGCAAGAAGGCTTCACAAGACCCACAGACGGCCCCACGAGGGGGCCTAGATGGGAAACCCGAACGGACATTTCGAGCCCTCGGCCCCGAGGGGCCCCCAGAAGGCCCCAAGAGGTGCCCCCAAGAGGCCCCGAGAGACTCCCAAGAGGCCCAAAGAGGCTCCCGAGAGGCTCCCAAGAGGCTCCCAAGAGGCCCCAAAACTGCTCCCAAGAGACCCCAGAGAGCGCCTCGAAGAGACCCGAAGAAGCATGCCTGAGAATTCTGACCCACAACCTAGTCACGGTGGCGAGATGGGCCGAAAGGGGATGAGCCGAAGGCCATTTCATCTAGCTTATTATTACCATGATTATTATTATTATTACTATTATTATTATGCTCATTATGATGATTTTTATTATTAGTAATATTATTATTGTTCTCATTACTATTATTAGTATGCTTATTATTATCTTTATTATTATTATGTTATTATTATTATTATTATTAGTAGTAGCAGTAATAGTAGCATCATTAGTAGCATGGTTAGTATTACTATTATTATTACTACTATTACTACTACTACTAGCACTAGTGCTAGTACTACGATTATTACTAATATATATATATATATATATATATATATATATATATATATAGGTATATATATACACATATACATACATATATATATATATATATACGTATATATAAACTCCCTGGGGCCGAAAAACTCCGGGGTAGATGCTCAAACGCTAGTCACCTCGACGGCCCCCCGACGATGTGACGCGTCTTCTGTTTTGATCACGGCCCTGAAGGGCTATGCATCGTTAGAGAGCGGGCGGCCACGGCCTAATACCGCGCGAGATAGAGGTCTGCAAGATCCTGCTGCCACCTCTGCCGCCGCCTGTCCGCTGCAGGCGGTCGGAAGACACTAGAATCATTGGGAAAAAAGGGGTTCTGGGCGGGTGAGCTTGAGCACGAACGATTATGGAACGGACGGCCAGGAGAGAGAGGACAATGGGGATATAACAACAGTTTACAAACATATATTAGCACTTCCCTAGGTCCGACAAGCTCCTGGCCAGATGCTCAAGCCCTCCCCGCCTCGACGGGCCCCCGACGATGTGACGTGCTTTCTGTTTTGATCACGGCCCTCATGCGCTATGCATCTTTAGCAAGCGGGCGACCACAGCCTAAGACCGCGCAAGATAAGACTCTGCATGATCCTGCTGCCACCTACCATTCCCTATTCTGGTTTATCGCTAGTCCTTTCTTGGGGGTGGGTCGGGAGGGACAAAACAAATACCCTGGCGACGTACCCAACCCTTGCGCAATGCGGGGCATGAGTAGATTGGGAGTCGTTATACAGAGGTGATGACGTGACATGGGCGCATATACTTCTGCGAGAGGCATTCGTGAGGCTCGCAACCCCCCACGGACGGCGAGGTCCCGCTCAGATCTGCCTGGTGCCTCGCTTCGCAGGAACCACCAGCAGCCCTCGAAAGTGGCGACAACCTCGCAGATCGCAGCCCCCCAGGGACGGCGAGGTCCCGCTCAGGTCTGCGCGGTGCTTCACTCTGCAGGACCCACCAGCAGCCCTCGAAAGTGGTGACAGTTTCGCAGATCGCAGCCCCCCAGGGACGGCGAGGTCCCGCTCAGGTCCGCGCGGTGCCTCACCCCGCAGGACCCACCAGCAGCCCTCGAAAGTGGCGACAGTTTCGCAGATCGCAGCCCGCCAAGGACAGCGAGGTCCCGCTCAGGTCCGCGCGGCGCCTCGCTCCGCAGGACCCACCAGCAGCCCTCGAAAGTGGCGACAATTTCGCAGATCGCAGCCCCCCAGGGACGGCGAGGTCCTGTTTGGATCCGCGGTGAGTGCCCTCTCTGCTGGCCTCCCCACCAGCCTTCGAAAGTGGCGATAGTTTTACATATCGCAGCCCCCCAGGGACGGCGAGGTCCCGTTTGGATCTGCGGTGAATGCCCTCTCTGCTGGCCTCCCCAGCAGCCCTCGAAAGTGGCGACAGTTTCGCAGATCGCACCCCCCCACGGACGGCGAGGTCACGTTTGGATCCGCGGTGAGTACTCTCTGCTGGCCTCCCCAGCAGCCCTCGAAAGTGGCGACAGATTCGCAAATCGCAGCCCCCCAGGGACGGCGAGGTCCCGTTTGGATCTGCGGTGAATGCCCTCTGCGCTGGCCTCCCCAGCAGCCCTCGAAAGTGGCGACCGTTTCGCAGATCGCAGCCCCCCAGGGACGGCGAGGTCACGTTTGGATCCGCAGTGAGTATTTTCTGCTGGGCCTCCCCAGCAGCCCTCGAAAATAGCGACAGTTTCACAGATCGCAGCCCCCCAGGGACGGCGAGGTTCCGTTTGGATCTGCGGTGAGTACACATTCTGCTGGCCTTCCCAGCAGCCCTCGAAAATGGCGACAGTTTCGCAGATCGCAGCCCCCCAGGGACGGCGAGGTCCCGTTTGGATCCGAGGTGAGTACCCTCTCTGCTGGCCTCCCCAGCAGCCCTCGAAAATAACGACAGTTTCACAGATCGCAGCCCCCCAGGGACGGCGAGGTCTCATTTGGATCCGCGGTGAATGCCCTCTCTGCTGGCCTCCCCAGCAGCCCTCGAAAGTGGCGACAGTTTCACAAATCGCAGCCCCCGAGAGACGGCGAGGTCCCGTTTGGATCCGCGGTGAATGCCCTCTCTGCTGGCCTCCCCAGCAGCCCTCGAAAGTGGCGACAGTTTCACAGATCGCAGCCCCCGAGGGACGGCGAGGTCCCGTTTGGATCCGCGGTGAATGCCCTCTCTGCTGGCCTCCCCAGCAGCCCTCGAAAGTGGCGAAGTGGCGACAGCTTCGCATATCGCAGCCCCCCAGGGGAGGTCCCGTTTGGATCCGCGGTGAGTGCCCTCTCTGCTGGCCTTCCAAGCAGCCCTCGAAAGCGGCGACAGTTTCATAGATCGCAGCCCCCCAGGGACGGCGAGAGGAAACAAGAGGGAGCCGGGAGGCGGGAGGAGAAGGACGCGACCACACCCCTCTATTCAAAACGAATACCCAACCAAGGAGGGTTGGGAAAAATGTCGAGGATCGTCGATGCTGATCTAGTTCCCATGTTCCGGAAGAGCCTTTCCGGAGCATGACAGCATGCAAATCAGACAATTACTCAACGAGGCCTCCTCTTCCGAACCGGGGCGAAATCACGAGCAACTGCGCTCGCGCCCCTGGCCCTGCCCTCGAGAGACAGATGGGCGCAATCGCCCTCGTGGCCACCCGCGGCCACTTCCGCCAGAAGTTCTCGAAGCCCAGTAGCGACGCCGAGGCAGGAGCAAGCGGGGCCCTCAAGAAATTTTCAACAAACTCTCGTGGGGACCTTTCCAAAAAACCTTGCTCTGGCTGCTGGGGGGTCAGAATGGCACGGGCCTCGACAATTCCATGTATTTTCGTGCACCTCTGCACCGACGACAGCGGAGCCCATCGTCCGCGCCGGCGGCAGCCCTCCAACGCCCCGCCCTGGTCAGGAACACGCCTGCCGCCGCGTGCCGCACGTTGCCGAGGTGGGCCAGGCCGAGCCTCGCCATGCTGATCGCCCACTGGCGCACGTACTCAGAGACGCTCAGGGGGAATACCACATCGTCGCTATCACAGCCGGCGACGAGACCCCTCAGCAACGCCACGGTGGCGGGCGACCCCACGTCGAGCCCTTGATTGGGCCCTGTCTTGACCGCGTCTCCTCGGCGTCGGTCCCCAGGCACAGCT